CACAAGTCCGGCGGCCAGCTCTCTCATGAGCGCAGAGTTGACAAGCATCAGCCCTCTCCCCCCTTCCGCTGTCCCTGTGCCCGTCTCCAAACCTCTGACCGTACCTCAATCGCCCGGCTCCGCATCATCTCCGGGGTCGTCCGCTGGCCCACTATCGTCCAGTCTGACCTCCTCTAAATCTTCGCCCGGATTGTGGAAGAAGATCAAAAGCGCCACTGGCACACTACGCAAACCTTCAGGTCCAGTTCCCGGTTCGCCAATAGGCAAAGCCAAGTCATGATCCGCATGATAGTCAATGAACGCTGGACGTTAGTCTTATAATTACTACTCAAGCAATAGCATGTATCAAATAGAAAGTCGCAAGCTGCATTGATTTCTGGATTGACTGTGTCAAATTCGAGATGCGAAAAATACAAGGGTGGAAGAGAATGGTGAAGAGAATCAATGACGGTCCCAGTCCCTGTCGCGATTCATGCCCATGCCCATTCCGCGTCTTCGAGGCCCACCAGGCCCGCGTTCGTTGTTGTTGCCGCTGGTCATTACAAGGTGTTTGTCCACGAGCTGCAAATAATGGTTAGGTACGCTGCGGTGAGGTGAATAGAATAAAGAGTCACGTCGTTCAAGATGTTGGCGGATTTTGTCAACGACGACAGGAACGCCGTGAGCTGAACATCTTCATACTCCGTCTCAAATTCTTCGCGGAAAGCGCTGTTCTCAGTGGCTGGGAGAGATGCGATCAGAGCAGACAGAGATCGCAGTGTGGCGTGGTCTTTGACCGCTTGCCCTATGAACGAGGTTCAGGTATGCTGTAGGTGATATGTGGAACGAAATTACCGGCAACGACGTCAGATACATATTTGACTAAAACCATGATTCGGTCGTGCAACATCTTCACAGCTGCCCGTTGGGTTTGTAGATGCGATTCCACTGTCGTGTACATCATTTTCAGTGAGGCTACGAAAAGAAAAAGAAGTGTTTGAAACGTACAGCTGGTTCCGCTCCCTCCACCCCTTGCTGTCCAATCAACGGCAATACGCTCAGCCTCGCCTGTCTCCACCTTGTATGGGACCTCAATGTACACCGATCGAGATTTTCTATCTCTCAGTTCTATTGTGGGTTCGTAAGCCTTGAAAGGAAGGTTCTGAGCGTTAACATCGGAGCTTGCGACAAGGGAGATCGACGGTTGCAGGAGGAGCAGGAGTGGCGTCGAACAGTATCCGGTGAACTGTAGATTGTCAGCTGTTGTGGGTGTGATGAGATCTTGAGACCTGCCTGTTCATGCAACGCTATATGACGCGGAGTGGGTCGAGGAGCAACGGTGTACCAGCCGATGAACTCTAGCGAAGGGAAAACCTGCTTGTCTGGAGGGCGTCTGATTAGAACGACGGGCGCGAGAACCTGGAACCAAGGACTTACACTGATCGCGTCGGGAGACCAAAAAGCCGTGGTCAACTAGTTCACCGCCCTCTTCAACGGCAAGTTCGAATGTGTTGACGATCTCTACCTCGCGGCCGTTTTGTGTGCCTAACAGAGCTCCCAAAACTGCGGCACACTTAATGGGCCTGATGAAACAAGTGTAATGACGAACAAACCGAAGGGGGAGTTTGTATTGGTTTGTAGCTTTAATCTGGTCAGATGCTCTGAGACGTTCAAGATGGGGAGAGGATGTCTGCAGGCAAGTGGTCAGGTTGAGGGTCCAATTTTGGCGGAAGAAAACAAGTACAGAGAAAGAGATAAGCCAGATGTTGTGTTAGACGATGCGAGTACAACCGAAGGTTCGTCGGTGTCCATTTTCTAGATGATTTCAAGTTAAACTTCAAAGACCACAAGTGAGTCGCAAGCCACGATGTCACGCAATCACAGCGTCACGAACGCGTATCCGTCACATGTGACACGGCGCGTCCTCTTTCTCGTTTCCTCCATCTACCGCCTCGTAGAGCCTATCTACGAGATCCACCCACAGAAATGTCTGGCTTTGATGCCCCCGCCGTTTTCACAGTCGCTGCCCATGATCCTCCTCCCGCCATTTCTCCAGACTCGCCCTCTGAGACTGAGAAGCTTCTCCTCGAATTTCTGCTTCAATATCGGCTCGGCGGCGAATTCATCTACAGGTCGGCATCTCTTGTATTGACGCAGATGGTAGTTGAGCAGGACGCGCAGAGACAAATTGAGAGCAAATATGCTCCTGAAACAACGCATTCTTGAAGTCGATCTGCGACACCTCAGTCTTTACAATGATGAGTTGGCCCATGCTATCCAGGACAATCCTTCTGTCGCGCTACCTGCCGTGCGTATGACTGTTGGTGCTACACTCCGAAGTCTCACTGCTGTGTAGTTTGAAAGTGCAGCAACTAAAGCCGCGCGCTCAATTCTCTTCCCATTGGGAGGTGCCGGCCATTCAGACGATGAGAGGAGAAAAAACAGGGAAAAGAACGACGCGGATGCCGCCGAGGCCATTCCAGAAATCCAAGTCACCATTCGCTCAGGTCTCAACCTTTTACAATTTCGCGATCTTACCGCCAACACGATGAATAAGCTCGTGCGCATCCCTGGCATTGTCATCTCTGCATCTGTCTTGTCGTCACGAGCAACGAAACTACACCTCCAATGTCGTTCTTGCGGAAACCCCAAGATCATTGAGGTTTCCGGCGGTATGGGTGGGATAGGCAGTGGCTCCGACAGAGGGTTACCGCGTACTTGCGACTCGTCGTCGGAGAAGAAGAAAGACTGCCCGCTTGACCCATACCTTATCATTCACTCTAAATGCGCGTTTGCCGACCAACAAACTCTGAAACTTCAGGAAGCGCCGGATATGGTTCCTGTTGGGGAGCTGCCCAGACATATGCTGCTGTCTGTCGACCGATATCTCACAGGAAAAGTTGTGCCAGGGTCCAGAGTGATCGCAACCGGAATTTATTCCACATTCCAGTCGGCTAAGAAGGTGCGCCAGCTCAGTGAAATCGAATCAGACGGCCATTAACAGGAGCTCCTAGAAAAATGCTGGTGCCGCGGCTCTCCGCCAACCGTATTTGCGGGTTGTCCATCTCGAACTCTCTTCTGGCCCGACTGGCAACTCCGGTTCTAATCCGTTCGGTGTTCAATTCACGCCTGAAGAAGAGGATGAGTTTGAAGCAATGGCTCGAAGTGAAGGATTTTACGAACGATTTGCTAAAAGTGTCGGTCCCAGTATCTACGGCAGCTTGGGTGCGTTTTGGTCGGCACGTTTCCGAATGCTGGCTTGACTGAACCCACCAGACATAAAAAAGGCAATAACATGCCTTCTCTTCGGGGGATCCAAGAAGATTCTACCCGATGGTATGAGACTTCGGGGTGACATAAATGTACTCCTGTTGGGCGACCCGGGAACTGCGAAGAGTCAATTGCTGAAGTTTGTTGAAAAAGTGCGACTCTTGGATTGCTTGAATTCGTCAATATTAATGCTGAACAGGTCGCTCCGATCGCTGTATATACGTCTGGCAAAGGCTCCAGTGCTGCTGGTCTCACTGCTTCCGTTCAACGAGACACGATCTCGGTAAGTCAAGGTTGCTTCCATCGACACCGAGCCAACGCTTTCAAAGCGTGAATTTTACCTCGAAGGAGGTGCTATGGTTCTGGCTGACACCGGCGTCGTCTGCATCGATGAATTTGACAAGATGCGAGACGAAGATCGGGTTGCGATTCACGAAGCCATGGAACAGCAGACTATATCAATCGCCAAGGCTGGCATCACTACTGTCCTCAATTCCCGCACTAGCGTGCTGGCTGCTGCGAATCCTGTGTTCGGCCGATATGACGAAGGTCGAAGTCCTGGCGAGGTACGACGCTTGATCTATCGCCGTGTTCTGCCTGCTGAACTGTGCATTAGAATATTGATTTCCAGACAACTATCTTGTCCCGTTTCGATATGATCTTCATAGTGAAAGATGAACACAACGAACAGCGAGACAAGGTAGGCAGGCTATTTCTGGTGTCGCAGCACCGGACTCAGTTTCCCCCAGATGATTGCGAGACATGTAATGAACACTCATATGAATCGACCGGAGGAGAACGCGGACAAGGCTGCTGATGAGTTGAGTCTCGACACAATGAAGCGATACATTGCATATTGCAAAGGGTAACGGTGCTCTTCATTCGCCGTCATTGCTGCTGAATATGTTGGTCAGGAAATGCGCCCCGCGGTTGTCTGCGGAGGCACAGGAGATGTTGAGCAGTCATTTCGTCAGCTTGCGCAAGCAAGTGCAACAAGTTGAGCGGGATAACGATGAACGGAGTTCTATTCCGATTACTGTCCGGTGAGCGAAAAAACCTTCCTTTCGATATCAGACCAGCCCTGAAACGTTTTCTCAAGACAACTCGAAGCCATCATCCGTATCTCAGAATCGTTAGCAAAATTGACTCTATCTACGGTCGTTCAAAACCACCATGTCGAAGAAGCCATCCGGTTGTTCAAATTCTCTACCATGGACGCAGTATCTGCCGGATCCGCTGATGGCCTGTCGCGAGGAGAGTTAAACGAGGAAATGGCTAAGATTGAAAAGGAGCTGCGACGACGACTTCCTGTTGGTTGGAGTACAAGCTATCAAAGTCTTGTGCGAGAGTTCGTCACGCAGCAAGGATACTCGAGCCATGCCTTGGAGAGGACCTTGTTTGTAATGGAGAAGAGCGAGATAATACGCTTTTCAGGTCAAAAGAAAGTGGTGCATAGGTTTGTCGATTGACTGCTGTTTCGTTCTATTGGCTGATGTGCGTTGTAGGGTTGGTGTCTGAGTCCGATTGTATCGATCATATTTGCTGTCTGTTATGTCTATCTAGCGCATTTGTATACCAGGTGTAAATTAATGTTACTGGCTATGTTGTCATGAAGTTGTGGGCATATTCAGAGCGTGTCTGCTCGCTGCCGTGGGTTCATATTCGAGTCAAAATGTATTGCTGAGTAGGATTTTGCGCCACGAAGATTCATTGATCTGTATTTCCAGATTCAGCTGGTAGACACTTATCAAGCCCGCCTAGCTCAATCGGATAGAGCGTCAGACTTTTACGGAGTCTCTCCAGGCGGGAATCTGAAGGCTGCGAGTTCGACCCTCGCGGTGGGCTAATCACGTTTTTGTAGGTTTTGTCCTGGTGTTAATTTTTTTTCTCTCTCTACTATTGTGGTAAGTACACTCACTAATACCCAAGGGCGGTGCCGGAGGTGATAAAGAAGGGGAGCAAAAACTGGAGGGGATTTGTCCGTAGTTGGAACGATTTGGTGTCATAGGAGTGTGAATTCATTGGTATATACATAGTGCTAAGTAGTGGCAGATGAGGCATGAGCCTTGAGGTGATAGAGCATACAGAATTGTGTACATTAGAAAGAAGAGAAAAGACTCTGAGCATGCGGGCTACAAGGGCGAGGTGTTGGTTGGGGGAATGAATGTTGTGAATGAGGACACTTCTGTCGCAGCGGCAGCATCGCGCGGGCATTAAAAGCCTTGACGCCCGTTGTCTTTTCTTTCAATACCTTGAGTCCTGGTCTGGTGAACACAGCAGAGCCAGTCGAGGGGGATGGCCAACAGGGTTTTTTTTAGGAGACACTGCGCCGAAGATCCTAGGCACAAGGAAATTCAGGCCGCAAAGCCTGCGTAATGAGAATATTCAATCGGATCCACCACACAAAAAGAGCAAAACAATAAATAGCCCACCGCGAGGGTCGAACTCGCAGCCTTCAGATACCCGCCTATAAGAGTCTGACGCTCTATCCGATTGAGCTAGGCGGGCATTGTGTTACCGGGAAATATGAGGGAATAGATACCTCTGTAAGAGATAATGGTAAGGACAGCAGAATCCCGCAACCGCGGCAACGTATGAACCCAGTGAACCCATTGAAGACAGAAATACGGCGACGATGTCGAAGTTTTTCTTTCGGAGGGCTGCACAGATGCGCTCCAGGTTCCTGTAGCCAAGAAACTTTGTAAACTTCCAGCTGCTGACTAGGGAACAACCACAGACATGCAGGCGCTCAAAATCACCGAGGAAGAGGCATATCTACAGCCCAGCCTGCCGGTCTCTGCTAGTGTATTCCTCTGGTACATCCCGCCGGTGTGTGGAGAAAGACGTTGGATGGCTAGGACGAAGATTTCCAATTTGGGTCAACGGCGTTGAGTCGCCCGATTTGGACCTTGGTCAAAATATCTGATGGAGACGAAAGCAGACAGCACTGGTTACCGCAAGGTTCGGGGTAACCTTAAATCCACTGTCCAGGTGTACTTTAAATAAATGCACAGACGGCTGCGACCTCCTTCCACGATTCTTTTCGCATGAACAGGCAGAGACCGGCCAATATGGACCCACAGAGTTAGAGAGGACGCAGTGAGGCAGACAAAGCCCCAATGCTGAATCGAAATGTCGACCCCAAAACCGAAAGTGTCTTGCATGCATTGCGGTTCACAGCAGGTCAAGTGAGACGTCCTTGAACACGATGCGGCCACGCAGGCGAAAGTACTAACGTGTTTCAAGGAGAATTCGCAAGAAGAATTATCACAAGAAACAGAAGGAGGAAGGCACAGCGGGCAACCGTAGACACTGTACTGAGAGCAACTCGAAGTGGAAGCGATTGACAAGGACCAACGGTCAGCACTGAGCGCTTCTTAAAGAGTGGGAAAGGATCTGTGATGGATGATGGATGCGCAGTGAGCAAGGCTGTGCGTCGCTGGCTCTCTTGACCTCAACTTCCACTACCTCTCATTAACCCAACAACATGTCGACCTCGCAGGGCACGCAGTATCCTCCCGGCACGATCTTTGACGAGTTCACGGCGGATTACAACAAGACGCTAGAGGGCTTTGCGTCGTTTCAGAGCCCCTCTGACATCCTCGCACCCCATCCAGATCTTTTCGAGCTTGAACTAGATACCAGTCTTGCCGGATTCGATGATGACCAGCTCCAACTCCTCACAATCGACTCCCATGATGCCTACTCGTTTTTCAGGACAGACACGCCCACAAGGGGCCCTCCCTCCAACATTACCGCCTCTTCTGAGTCTGCTTATGATTCCCTTTCGTCCTATTCCGAGTCCTTCTATAACTACCCCCACTCGCCTCAGCCTCCCTCCAACTACTCTTTCCCCCTTGACTTGGAAATGGACTTCCAGCGAATTCGGGTAGATGCTGCGACATCAGAATACGCCGCAGCGCAGGCAAGCTCTGATGCCGCAGCTGCGGACCGTATATCTTTTGGCACCAACGCGGCGCCTGACACGGCCCGCAGCACCAAACCATATACAAAAGCTTACAATTCGAGGACTACTTATTCAGATTACGGTCCCTCGACTCGTCGTCCCAGCGTTCCAGTTGACTTATACAGTCAACTCAACTTCAATCCCCAAACGCTCGCCGGTCCTACTGTGTCCCCCTCTCATATATCTACTCAGCTGCCCACCATACCGGCTGGTCAAATGGCACAGGTTCCGGAGGAAGAAGATTACAAGGGTGGCGATGCCCGTAAGAAATATAGATGCTCAGCATGTCCTAGAGGTATAATTGTTTGCGGGTCAGTCCCTCGCTTCCTTGCTCACAATCTTTTGCAGCGTTTGCCAGAGCTTACAACCTAAAGACTCACATGGCCACGCACGACCCCAACAGACTCAAACCCCATGTTTGTCCTCACCGCTCATGCGGACGCTCCTTCAGTCGCAAGCACGATCTTGGTCGTCATCTCATCAGCATCCATCGCGATGAATCGCAGCGCGAAGACTCCGTGTGCTCTTCCCACCATTCGGCGGGGTCCAAGAAGTCTATTGGCGTCGAGCAAGGCGCCCGTCGATGGTGTGACCGCTGCGGAAAAGGTCTCATCGGCAACGCAGTCGACTGCGATTGCACCTGAGTAAAAATCATCAGCTTCTTCCTGTCATATTTCGTGTGAGGTCTCGTTCAGAACGCGTCCCGCAGCTCGCTGACTCTTGCGCAGGCTTACGTCACCACTACCAGCCGGTTCCGCAGTTATCTGGTCGCTTGCGCTTTTTTGCCCAACCCAGAATCTGTGTCCCTTCCTGCGTCATTCTTGTGTCACGTATCGTACCGCCCTGACTTGTGTGCTTGGCCCCGCGACGAACGTGATCCTGATATGAATTTCTCTTTATGTTCGCGCAACCATTCCGCTTGCGCGATAACGCTTTCTTATTCTTTTTATGTCTTATGTTCCACACGTCTGCTATCGTCTTTTCTACTTATCATACTTGTTTGGATACTCGATCGGGCTGGAGAACTTTTAATACCGTCAACGCGAAGGAAACAGCGAAGCTTGTACAATGTATTGTCCTATGTATGCGAAATTAATTTCCGCGGGTTTCAGTGTTGGGTGACCGTCAACGGGATCTTCCTCGGGTATTCATAACAATTCTATGTCTTGAAGCTCCCAGTGCAATACCTGAAGAGGAACGAAACCCAAGGACCTTCCATTTTGGGAAGGTCTTGGGACCGCCCAAAGATGAGTGACAGCGTCACACAGTGTGACAAATCCAACTTGGACATTCACTTTGCATACACTTTCGGAATGGATGATCTGCATCCTCCAGACGACTACAGCCACCGGTTTTTTATTTGGCATGAGTGGATTCAGGTGATTTATCGTCCGACTCTCTTCCAAACCGACCAATGCGACAGGCCAACGGACCACTCACAGCCGAGAATGTGTTCGACTACTTCGCGACATCTATGTTCTACGACAAACAGAGTAACAATCAAGTCTTACGCATGCAGACTATGCATACTGGGACAGCAATTGCGAATGAGGCTGAGGAACTGAGGCAGGGCTCAAGCCGTTGAACAAGACTTGTGGTACTAAACGCAACACTAGACGATTCACTGGGGTTGAATTTGCTGTCGTGCATTCCCTGCCACCGTCCATGTTCATCATTCATAAGCGTGAACGCCTTTCGCCTGATGAAGGTATCACAATCTAGCTGTTGGTTCCCGTGTCAACTCTCTCAAATTCCCTCTCAAGTCCGCCCCTTGGCCGCTTATTTTATCATGAACAACAGAATCTATCAGTCACCGGATGTTTATACAGTTCTATCCAACCGCCTGGTGTGATGTATTTTCCCTGTAACAGCGAAAGAATCTAACCCTTCTGGCCAGTTAACCTCTGTCTCTTCACTCCAGGCCTCGCTTGATATTCTGCGCAATCGGCGGCCTGATTACATCCCCAGAACAGGATTTGTATGGCCCATCGTCGACCCTGCGGTTCAATCAGACGACCTCAAAAAGAAAGTCTCGGGTGAAGAAAGCGCAGCAACAACAACAACCAACGAAAGCCGAAGTGTGTCCGAAGCTCCCGAAATAAGCAAACCAAAAATCCCCCCACGGTAGCGTCCTTCGTTTCCAATCTTCACGAACTTCCCTGAACACGTTGTCAAGATTGCAAAATAGTTTACTCCTCACGAACGCCATGCGCGCAACCGCTTTACACCTGCAATCAAAAACGGTTCTTCCGACCAGTCTTGCGGAGCCCAATGTCGAAACTATACCCGAGACTCCGCTTTCTCAAGGCGTAAGAAATTCTGCCACACCTGCGCCTGCGCCCGCAGCCAAAACTCCTGTCGTTCGTCAAGTGTCGCAAGAACCACCTTCGCGGGCGTTGCCCGGCGCGGGGAAGAAGAAGCGGAAAAGTATGCTGCGCATTCTTTCGCCCAAACCACTATTGACTGCGCACCACAGGAACCCTTGTTGCGCCTAGTCTCGGAAACCCAGACGTTCTACTGTATTCCTTGTAGACGGAGCTCTTTCCGTATATAGACAATACAAGACATTTCTGACAGCTGATTGATTTTTGAGCCTGGGAGAATTTTTTGACAGTAGAACGTCTGGGCCGGTCGATGTGTACCCACCTACCATCACTTCACTCACCTGCGCGTCGACACGTCTTGGACGCGTCGCTCCTGGCCGGAAGCCTCCAGGAATGCCTCCAGATGATGAGGGATGGCTTTCCTCAAGAATGGGTGACCTCGGGTGTGTCAGCTCAGGAGATAACTAGTAGATTTTGTTCGCGATAATTTTCAAGAGTCAGGCTCCATTGTGAGACAATCAAGCCCTATCAAGCCACAGTTCACTGCAGACTAG